TTACTCTTGCTCTAATTAACAAGAGCTGCAGCTTTTGGGAAGCAACAACTCCAACTGAGAGTAATACAAAAACTAATAATGTAACAAAATTATATTAAATTGATCCTTCATATGCATCGATGCACCAAGCTGATCGGGCTGACATTGGTGTTGATACTTAATGTGCAAGATTTTGCTTCCAATGACCTAACAGCAGACTTAAATCTAGCTCGAAATGTTGGTCTTTGTTGTTCTCTTATTTGACCGAAACTTCAGAATTTTCTGTCAGGATATAATATATATTAGTACAATTTTCATATGCATGACATAGTTCCTTTGGTTCATGTTCTGAAGTTTAGAGTAGATTCAGTTCTCATATCTAGATAGCTACTTAAAGAATCATTTTTTACTTTAGGAGCTCCTGGCAAGCTGCAACACAAGTTAACAGTGCCCACATACCAAGCTGTCAGCATTAATTTGTCTAGCATTTTGAGACCTCCACTCATAAATTTTATCCAAGAGTTAAGATTAGCCACATTTATGGATTAAGTTCAGGGCCATGTTTGGAAGCACCTGCAGGAACATTCCACTTCCTTTTGTTCTATTGGTATGTGGTGATGGATAAATCCATATTTTTAAAGGATGAATGCTTACTAGAACACTAAGTTAAAGGGTAGGGCCTATTGTCTTGAACCAATGTGACCTAGAGCCATCAATACTTTGGCAATGAGTTGAAAGGCAAAACCATGTTACTTCAGGTGCTATTGTCTTCAGCTGGTACCCACAGAATTACTCTTCACCACAGATTAACAGGATAATATGAGTTGCCATTTGGCCTATATAAACACATTCAAGAAGATGTCTACCACCACAGCTCTCAGCAAAATTTGAAGGATTCAAAGCTTTCTCTGCTTTTGAGATCTTTAGTAGTTCATTTTTTCTTTCCTCATCTATAATAAAGCTAAAAGAATCATGGCTATTCGTATGCCTCGTATATTCAAGAAGTCTTCCACAAATGGAGACATTCCAAAAGGCCACTTTGCTGTATATATTGGGGAGAAGCATAAGAAGAGATTTGTTATCCCTATATCATTCTTGAGTCACCCAGAATTTCAACACTTGCTTAGTCAAGCTGAGGAAGAATTTGGCTTCGATCATCCAATGGGCGGTCTCACAATTCCCATCAGAGAGGATGTCTTCATCGACCTTACTTCTCGTTTGAGGAACTGCGACAGAAACTTGTCTTCACAATTTTGTAAAGCAGGATCTGCACAGTTTGCATAGATGAATAGTTAGAGAAAACTGTAGTTAGAATGCAGAATGTTAGTGAACTTAACTCCACAAAGCCTGTTTTGTTATTCATGTCAAAGAGATGAATGACTCTTCACTTTTTCTACTTCAAAGATAATGAAGTACTGAATTTTTTCCACTTGATGGCTCCATTCACTGTGCATTGGTATTTCTTTTATTTGCGATTCCATATACTCAAGTCCCGTGTTTTTCTCCTTTACAAAGGCGAAAAAGATTTGCTTTCCTTATGATGTTCCCACTCCACTAGATAACAATGTGCTCGAATGCATTTCTTACTTTTAAGCCACAGGTGAATATATGTTGGAATATAAAGCAAGATATAAGCAAAGGAATAAAGGAGATATGAATATTCTGCTCATTATTTTATTCAATAATCAAAGCCATATTTATACAAGAATTTATAACTGAAAAGCTCTAAAGAAAAGCAGAAAAATCAGCAGCAGATTATCCCTAACAGCTATATCCTAACAAATAGCAACAGAAAGATAAGATTCTGCTAACAGTTACAAGACTTATTTATCTCAACAACTTCCTTGCTTTGAGCAGATTTTGAACTTCAGCAATTATGCAAAATTTCCAGCTATTGAGGCAGTAATTTCAACACTTCTCCTTGACTCAAGAGCAGCAACACCAAGTTTTTCTCGAAGAAATTCAAATCTGGATCTAGGTAGAGCCTTAGTTAAAATATCAGCAATCTGAAATTCGNCCAAGTTTTGCAATATACTAAAGCTACCTCTCCATTCTTCTGCACTTCTCTTAAGAAATAAAGCTTGATCTTGAAATGTTTTGTCTTCCCATGGAACACAGGATTATTTGCAATAGAAATTGCAGCTTGATTATCAACAAAGATTCCAGTGCTTTTCTTTTGCTCCATGTACAAATCTGTCAGCAGTTTCCTAACCCAAAGAGCTTGATTCACAGCTGATGCAGCTGCAACATACTCTGCTTCAGCTGTAGATTGAGCAACTACATCTTGCTTCTTTGAACACCAAGAGAATGCATCAGAACCAAAACTGAAACAATAACCTGAAGTGCTTCTCATATCATCTAAGCAGCCCGCCCAATCGCTATCAGAATATCCATGAAAATGAAAGTCTAAGGCTCTTTTGAACATGATGCCAAAATTAACAGTACCTTTGACATATCTAATAATACGTTTAGCTGCTTGAAAATGAACTTCACTGGCACAGTGCATATACCTCGAAAGTAAACTCACAGAATGAACAATATCTGGCCTTGTTGCAGTCAAGTACATCAGGCAACCTATCAAGCTCCTGTAAAGTCCTTCATCAATCTTTTCAGTTCCATCTTCTTTGCAAAACTTCTCATTTTGATTCATAGGAGTTGTCATAGGCTTGCAATCCTCCATTTTGGACTTTTTCAGTATTTCTTTGGCGTATTTCTTCTAGCATATAAAAATCTCATTTTGTTTTTGCTGAACTTCCATCCCAAGGAAGTAGAACATCTCACCAAGGTCTGTTATCTCAAAGACCTCCTTCATTTCAGTCTTAAACTAACTGATTAAGTCTGAACTGCTACCTGTAACTAATAAATCATCAACATATAGAGAGATAATAGTTAAATATATTTCTTCCTTCCGGATATACAGTGTGGACTCACTCAAACTTTTCTGAAAGCCTAAATTGAGAAGATGAGCATCAATCCTACTATACCAAGCTCTAGGAGCTTGCTTCAACCCATATAATGCCTTCTTTAATAGATATACCTTGTCTTCTTTACCTTTCACAGAAAAACCTTTAGGTTGTTCTACAAAGATTTTTTCTTCAAGGTGACCATTGAGGAAAGCAGATTTCACATCAAGTTGGTGGATCTTCCATCCATGTTGAGCTGATAAAGCTAGTATCATTCTCACTGTATCCAAGCGAGCAACAGGAGCGAAAGTTTCTGAAAAATCCACTCCAAACATTTGCGCATACGGTCACAACTAGTCTAGCCTTGTATTTGTTTACGGAACCATCACGGTTGAGCTTGGTTCTATAAACCCACTTGACTCCAATAGCTTTCTTGTGTGATGGTCTATCAACTAGCTCCCATGTGTTGTTCTTTTCTATCATTTTCAACTCCTCCTGCATTGCAGTCCTCCATTTCTCATCTTTGGCAGCTTCTGAAAATCCTGCAGGTTCTAAAATAGCAACATTACACCTTTGATATATATCAGAAAGTGGTCTTGTGCCTTGGACAGGTACATCATCAACATCTTCATCTAGACACTCTAGATTTTTCTGTTTTTCACCATCTTTCCAGTTCCAGGTGTCATTCTCCAAGAACTTGACATCCCTGCTAACAACAACTTTGTCATTTTGAGGTTGATAGTGTTGCGGAAGCCAAATGTATATAGTATTGAATGAGTCACAACTACTATACCAAAAATTATGGCAGCCACCAAATAATAAATAAGACAATAAAGCAACAATAAAAGGAATACCAGAATTTACAAGATTCGGCCAATTTTGCCTACTTCCTCGGACACAACCAATATTTTATTTCCACTCCAAAAATACAAGGGAAATAATACTAAAGAGAGAAGATACAAATGCCTTAAGAAGATAAGAAGGCAAATGAGAGGTGTTTTTAAATCCTAAATATTAGGCCTTCTTATATAGGGAGAAATTCTTCCCAAATTAAGTCTCCCACCGATGTGGGAGTTTGCCATTTTCAACAGATAGATCCTGTAAGCTTTTGAGATATTGTTGTATCCTACAAAAATTCCAGGTTCAGCCTTTTTATCTAGCTTATCTCTTTTCACCCGAGGTACATAAAAGAAACAAAGACAACAAAAAACTTTCAGATTTGTTAGCATAGGTTTGTAACCAAACCAAACCTCAAAGGGAGTCTTCTTCTGCAAAGCTTTGGTTGGCAATCTGTTTAGCAAAAATACTGCAGTATTTGCAGCTTCTGCCCAAAATTGCTTAGGTAACCCTTTTTCATGAAGTATACACCTTGTCATTTCCGTTAAGGTCCTATTTTTCCTCTCTACTACTCCATTTTGTTGAGGAGTGTATGGTGTCGTTAGCTGATGCTCAATTTCTGCTTCATCACAAAACTGGTTAAACTTTTCTGAAGTATACTCAGTTCCATTATCTGTTCTTACCATCTGAATTTTGCAGCCACTCTGATTTTCCACCAAGCCTTATATTTCCAAAATACACCAGCAACCTCAGATTTAAAATTCAAAAAATAAATCCAACAATATCTGGTGTAATCATCAATAAAGGCAATGTAGTACTTACTGCCCTTCAAAGATGATGTTTTTTAAGGTCCACCTACATCTGTGTAAATAAGTTGCAGCTTCTGTTTTGCCCTCCAAGATGACTTCTGAAAAGGAAGCCGAGTTTGTTTTCCATACTGGCAAGCTTCACAAGCAGGTAGATTTTTCTCAACTTGGAAGGCCTTCTACTAGGTGATTTTCTTTCATGAAAAGTATTGCATCATGATGGAAATGTCCAAGTCTTTTGTGCCATAGTTCTAAGTTATTGGCTAACTGGACAACTGCAGCTTGTTCCTCCTCCAGCAGGTTCAAGGAAAAGCTTTTGCCTCTCATCTTGATCTTGAACAACTCCTTGTTATCAGCATCCTTGATCAGACACGCTTTATCTTCAAATAACAACTTGAAACCATTTTCAAGTAGGTGCCCAACACTTAAGAGGTTTCGATCAAGATCGGGAACAAAAAGAACATCAGTTATAAGTTTCAAACTAGTAAGGCTTTCAATTGCAACGGTTCCTCTGCCTTTCGCATCGAGTAATTCTCCATTTCCAATCCTGACTTTGCCAATGACAGAGCGATCTAGCTCTTGAAAGAGCTCTTGATCATTGGTCATATGATTTGTGCATCCGCTATCAATTAACCAGCTTTCAGAACTGTTGTTTCTAGCAAAACAAGTTGCTACAAATAACTGTTCTTCTTGATGTTGATTTGCAGCGGCGTTGGCTTCCTCACGTTGTGGTTGTGACTTGCATACCCTCTCAACATGGCCTAATTGACCACATTTGTTGCACTTGACATCTGGTCTCCACCAACATTTTTGTTGAGGATGATTTGTCTTTTTGCAATGAGGGCAGGGTGGATGAGCTCCTCCCTGATTGTTATTGTTATTGCTTTGCCTTTGCTTACTGTTCTTTTTTCTGCCTTTGTTTGAATCAATGTTCTGTGATTTAGCTTAAAAAGCTCTTTCGACAGAACTTTCCTTCCTCATTATTCTCCTTTGCTCCAAAGCCTGCAAAGCTTTAACAAGTTCTGCCAAGGTGATACTTGACAGATCTTTGGAATTCTCTAAAGAAGAGATCGTGGCTTCATATTTCTCAGGCAGTGTTACAAGAATTTTTTGAACAATTATTTCATCATTAAATTCCTTACCAAACAATCTCACCTTGTTGGCTATGTCGAGCAATTGGTCTGAATAATCTTTTATAGTTTCTGATTCTTTCATTTTCTTCATTTCAAATTCTCGAATTAGATTCATCACTTGCATATTTTGCACTCTTTCATTTCCTTTGTATTCTTTTTTGAGATACTCCCAAATTGTTGCTGCAGACTGCATTTGCATAATTCTGGTGAGAATAGAAGGTGATACTGCAGAGAAAAGACATGTTTTGGCTTTGGCTTTCCTGTTGTGATTCTCGGATCAATATGAAGATTATTTGGGAGGAAAAACAACTCTATTTCACAAGAATAGAATTATAGACAATTTACACCAAGAATTTCTCTCTACAAAAAACCTCACCAAACTCTCTTTTTGTTCTCACAATCTCTTCCTGGATTGATGTTTCTGTGTAAAACATAAGGCTCTATTTATAGCCTTAAATAAGGTGGTTGGTGGTTGAATTCTTCATTCAACAATGGAGGCTTCAACAATGGTGG